AAAGAAAGAAAGAAAGAAAGAAAGAAAGAAAGAAAGAAAGAAAGAAAGAAAGAAAGAAAGAAAGAAAGAAAGAAAGAAAGAAAGAAAGAAAGAAAAAATTCTCTCAAGTCTACTGGAATGATCTGACCCATTCCTGACTCATTCAAGTTTTAATAGGAGATGTGATAATTTTCACATATTAACACTTGCTTGGAGTGAAGGGAGGATATCAAGGATTAAATTACACTGTATATATTTATTCAATTAATTTGAAAAGAATGAAAATGCAAAAGTACTCTATTATTATGTGTATTGGAACTGAGGCTAGAATTTAATTACTATCATTGTGTTGGTGACCCAGGTGCTCAGAAAGTCTTCTTTAATTAACAGTCTGTTTTTAGTTTGGAAGTGGAAGTTCAAGTAGAAAAGATTTACAAAGATATAAAGAACAGCCAGTTTGCCATTTTCTACTAAAGGGTGCTAATAAGATCATCTGAATTTTTGGGTGTTAATAAGATCATCTGAATTTTTGGAAGAAACAAAAACAAACAAAAACACAGTTGAACTTTAAAGTGTTTAATTTCCATTCTGTGAACAGGTGCTAAAATTCATCAGAAGTCATTATCTGACCATGTCAGAAACTCTCTTCAATGGAATCACAGGATAGGAAGATGTCAAAGAGTTTTCTTGCATAACTGCATAACTAGGCAAAATGAAGAGTAGGAGAAGGATATCATACCTAACTCATACTCATACTTACCTAACTATGAGGTTTATAAAAAACTAAGGATGTTAGGATGCTGTTAGTAATAGATGCTAAAAATCAATCAGTTTTAAGAAATATTATCCAGTGGACTGCAAAGGATAACAGAAAAGGGAAGAGGAAGAGACAAAATCAAATGCCCATCATAATTCATATTAAATTTAATACCTGTCACTTGTCCTTTCTATCTGGACTAACTGTCTAACTGCAATCTACAGTTGCATCAAATTTCCCTTTTGATTTTCTCATGTATTAGTGCCTACTGTAGACAGTTTGTTTCCTGGTGATGGTGGTGAAAACGTTATATGTTAAACTAAGCCAAGTCCTCAATCTAACAAATGTTCTGTCAAAATTTTCAGCATGGACACCAAAGGGAAGTCATGTTTAACAAACCTGATAGCCTCCGGTTAGGATGACTATAGGATGACTACAGGATGACTGCTTGCATGGATGAGAGGAGAGAAGTGGATGTTGTCTGCTTTGACTTCAGCAAAGCTTTTGACACCATCTCCCATAACATCCTCGTGGGGAGGCTCAGGAAGTGAGAGGTAGATGAGTCGACAATGAGGTGGATTGAGTTGGAGACCTGTGGCCAGTGGTGTCCCCCAGAAGTCAGTACTGGGCCCAGTGCTGTTCAGCTTGTTCATCAGTGACCTAGACGAGGGCACTGAGGGCACCCTGAGCAAGTTTACAGACAATACCAAGCTGGTGGAGTGGCCGACACTCCGGAGGACTGTGCTGCTATCCAGAGGGACCTGGACATGCTGGAGAGTTGGGCAGAGAGGAAGCTCATGAGGTTCAACAAGGACATGTGCAGAGTTCTGCACCTGGGGAGGAATAACGACAGGCATTAGGACAGATTAGGGGTCAACCTGTCGGAAAGCAGCTCCACAGAGAGAGACCTGGGAGTCTCTCCACTCCATGATTTGATAGTACAGACCATGATTTGACAGTACAGGAAAGTGGCTTTGTGTCTCCTTGCATTGCACCAAAACCCTGAATTCATGTGTTATCAGGTGCAAACTCATTCTGTCAGCTCAGATTTGTTCATAGGTTAATTCATGTTGACTCAAGATTCCTCAGTTCTTCCACAGCTAACTTGAAATACTAAACCTGACATAAATGCCAGTATTCTGGCTAACTGGTAGACAGGACATAATGAATCTGAGCTCAGGATCAGATTCAGGATCAGTAAGTGCAACAGCACTTACTGTACAACAGCAGTACACAGCCTCTATCTTCTATCTATGGGGATAGATCATCCCTAAGGGAAAGACATGGAAATTTATATCACCTGGGAAACTCCTCAATTTAAATTGTTTTCCTCCAGGTCAGGGTAAGATTGACCAAAGAGAAGACACAGATTTTGGTGTAATCTCTGCAGACTTTGAGTGAAACAAATGCTTTCTGTCTAGTTGCAAATATGACGTTAAGACTATTTTCTGACCTCCAAAAAGGAAATTTCAAAAACAAAATAATAGGTCATACCTATTTCTCTAAAACACCTCAAGCTTTAGGATGCACTGTGCTGTCAACTGTGACTGGTAAGTAGTATTATTAAGTAATATGAAATATTCATTGACAAACATCTGGTGTATTCTGCTATATCAAATTTTCATTGACCATATGTAAAGCTAAATTGGTTTTTAAAAAAACACATTGTTCTCGAAAGGTCTATGTCAATATAATTCACAGAGTGTAATTGATTGCATATCTCCTAACGACTTATTCTGCAGATCGTGGTTTACGTGGAATATCTCTAATAAAGGATTATTATTTTATTGCTTTTCCAGAGTTATAAATAACTAAGACATCAAAAACTAAACCTATAGTGATGTACAAGCGTCAGCTAAAGTTTAATGACTTCAGAGCAACTACAATATACTTTATCACAGGTGCAAGCTGTATACATGATAGATAGAAGCTTAAAGCTCAGTTTTTGTTGCTATAAAGCATGCTACCAGATTAAGTATTGTTATCAGGTGTAACTGTAAAACAACCAGACAAACTAGGAACAGCAGCAAAAATCCCTTAAAGGGTGCTCATATGAGTTGCACAAAAGATGAGATTAAAGGGAAAACCAGAATATCTTCAGGGCAAGAAAACTTGCAATATAAGGTATTTGGAAAAGAAGGAGCAAAGGAAAAAAAGAAATAAAAGTGTAGACTCATTTGCAGATTAACAGGAAGTGAGAGAGTCTTTGACCCTCCTTCTCATATAGACAGACTATTTTAACTACATGATTCAGCAAAGACTGAAATTATTTCTTCCACTCCCATGGACAAATGAAGTTTTTTAACTTATTTTATGCGATAAAAAAGAATATCAGCAACAAAACGTTTTATAATGCAAAATACAAAAAAAAAAAGGGGGAAAAACCTCATTGTGCTAATGTACAAATGTACAAAGAGAGTTCTTCATAAAATAAACAGATCTCATACACAAAATGTAATTCCAAATTCTACCAATTAGGGATGTGGGATGAAAAGGACTTTGCATTAAATTACTGAAAATGCAAGAGTAGTCTATCTGGCAATTTAGCTCAAAAAAATCAGTAAGAGGGAGACAGATAACATGCAGGAGAAAAGATGAATTTCACCCATAAAATTACAGTGTAAAGGAAACTCTTACAGTAAATGTGTAACATGCTTTTCAGCTATAGATTCACAGCAAAGGAGGATATAGAGTTGGTGTGGCTTGGGTCAGGAGCCTAGCTG